CCTCTTCTGTAACCGCTTCCTGACCACCCTACAGCAGAAATACTGCTACAGGGCGGCATGGGTACACAAAATCACACACACACACACACACACACACACACACACTCACCACACACACATATATATATTTATATATTTATATAGTATAGATATATATATATATATATATAACACACATACACACGTGATTCGCGCACCCGTGATTTTCACACCCTCCCAGATACGTCAGATTGCCCCATCGTTTACACCAACATCACATTTAACCCTCATGATTGCCAGGAGCACGCTCATGTACAATAAACCTCCATTGCTTAGTATCAAGTTGTCTGAACGGGTCAATATCTTTGATCAGGTCAGCTAGTATACCAGCGTTCACATTAGTATAGCGTCCCCAAAAAACGCAGCGTTTAGCGGGATCAGCCCCTTGGCACCTGCAACACCAGCATTAATAGCCACCTACGCTTACCATCGCCTCTCCCCCAGCAAGTGCAGAAGTGTCAGTAGGTTACTGTCAGTTGATACATTGCACTCAAAAACCGCAGTGTTTCGCCAGAATCAGATCTGATCTCTGTTAGCACTTGCTGGTAAATTGTGATGACTCTCATATGCAGCAGAGTGCCAGTACACTATAGTGATGCTCTACCTTTTGGAGTGAACTGGCGAGTACCAGCGGTCTAGTACATCCAGGTCTTTCACATACCTCCTTGATTTTTTGGAGCTGTTTTTCAGCTGTATAGTGTTGATTGTGGATCAAAGCAGTTTATATGAACAACAATTTATTGCCCGCCAACTCAAAATTCAAAAACCTTGCCACTCCAGACCATTCGCATGGAAAACTCATTACGGTTTTCAAAATTTACATTTTTTTTGGGGCCTAACCCTCAACATGGGCATTACTAAAAGAAATGAATTGCGGTTGCATTGGTCCACAGACCCGATTCATCATCATGCCGTGTTCTCGGCTGCCATGGCCAGGCATAGATATGAGCAGTATACTCCGTGTTTTATGCATTTCATCGACAATACACTCTGTCATCCTCAGGGTAACCCTGAAATTTGACCGGCTCGACAAAATTCAGCCCCCTCGCAAATCACCTTAACCTAAAATGTGCACAGATGGTCTATACTCCTCAGCAAAACATCTGCATTGAGGAGTCCTTATTAATTTTTCTGCCGCCTTGCATTCAAACAATTTCTCCCCTGCAAGCGTGCCAGATATGGGGTTCAAGATGTAGAAGACCTGTGAGAGGACAATAGGGCTTTACTTATAAGTTTCGGATTTACGAGGGAAAAGATAGTCACGTGGAGCCTGCCCGGATGCCCAGAATACATGGGGAGGCAGTGGGCAAAGATAGTTATGGGAATTGTGTCATCATTTCTCCATATGGGGGGTACCACTATACGTGGACAATTTTTATTCAAGCGTGCCACTATTTAGACATTTATTCAATCTTGGAACTCGGCACTTGTGGCAAAGCCGTGACCTAATGTGTGCCCACCATTGAGTGGAGAAGGTGGGTGGATGCAGGGCGGTATATTCTAATGGTGGGCAACCACAACAATTTTTCTGCAGAGATTTCTTCTCTTATTTTTTCATTCAGTCCACTGGCTGCATACAAAAAAAAAAAAAAAAAAAAAAAAAAAGAACATAGCAAATATATTAACCAACAAGGACCAGCAATATACTGGTACATCACTGGATTTGAATGGTTATACGGTTATACCAGGATGATGCCTACAGCTGCAGGCATCATCCTGGTATCGTTTTTTTTCAGCAGATATCGGCTTTCATGTAATAGCATTCCTAGTGGCTAATTAGCTGCAAGATTGCTTTTACCAGCAGTGGGAGATGTCCCCCCTCCCCCGCTGCCCCTTCCACGGCCTTCTCAGACAGTCCCCAAGTGCCATCAGGGGTAACCTACAAAATGCAGCCAGTGTTTCTGCAGCTGACCATAGAGCTGATTGGAGACCAGAATGGTGCCAATCAATCTCTATAGTCTAAGAATTCGGAAAGCTACAAAGCATTTCATCACTTCAGTTTCGCAGGATATAAACAGCGCCATTTGTTAAATTGTGAAAGCATCTGATCACACCGATTTTGGTGAATTAGTTTGATTAGATAATGTAAGGAGACAGAGGAGATATATAGAGTCTGATAGACCCCAGATTTCTCAAAAAAGAATATGACAATGCCCATTGAAAGTTATAGGGGTTTAATTGCATTCCCTGTTATAGCATTAAAAGTGATAATAAGAAAAAAAAAAAATGAAAGGTTTACAATGTAAAAATAATAAAAAAAATCAAAATAACTAAAAAAAACACTAAAAAAACTACCACACCTGTGTGCACAAGCCTTAACCCTGTGCCGTTATGTAAACAGGCTGTTGCACCATGCAGGTGAGGTCATTGCCCGTGAACGTCAGATCAGGGCAGTAATTCTAACACTAGACCTCCTCTGTAAATCTAAAATGGTGGCTTTTTTAAAGCTTTAAAAAAGTGCTGCCTATGGATATTAAAAATTGTTTGCAGTTTGTCGCCATTGCACGGGGCAATGCGCAGTTTTAAAGTATGTTTCCATGTTTGGTATCTATTTACTCGGCATAACCATCGTTTTATATTTTACCAAAACAAGTTGGCCAATATATTGTGTTTTGTGCATTAAAAAGTAAAAAAAAAGTGTATTTTTCTTTAAAAAAATTGCTTTTGTAAAAATCGCTTGCGCGAGTACTATGTGCCATAAAAAATTGTAGTACCCACCATTTTATTCACTAGGGTGTCTGCTTTAAAAAAAATATATGTTTGGGGGTTTAAATTAATTTCCTAGCAAAAAAATACTGATTTTTTTCATGTGAACAAAAAGGCTTGGGTCTTCAGGTGGTTAGAAGAGTGAATGATGTGTGGCATAAATTTCTAATGCTGGGGCATAAAACGCCCCACCCCCCCAAAATGAAAAAAAAGGAACCTTTTTGGAAAGGTAGTCCATTTTCCCAAACTATTTGCTGAGAGGAATGTTGAATCAATAGAAGAATTAATTTTTTTACTACAAGTTTTTGGAAAATGACAAAAATAAATAATATTTTTTTTTTTACACAAAATTGTCACTTAAATGATTTTGTACTGCTCACACATGCCATGATTATATGGTGGAATTACTCCCAAAATACATTCTGCTACTTCTCCGGAGTATGGGGTACCACATGTGAGAGACATTTTGGCAGTCTAGCCAAGTACAGGACCCCAAAAATCCAATAAGCACCTTCCAGGCTTTTAAAGGGCTTTATTTCCTCATTTACACTTCCAGACTACCTATCACAGTTACGGAGGCCCTGAAATGCCAGATAGCACCTAACCCCCCAAATGACCACTTTTTGGAAAGTAGACGCCCCAAGGAGATTTGAATAAAAAGCACAGTAAGTATTTTGCAGATCTCATTTGTTGCCACAAGTTTTTGGAAATGAAGAAAACACAAAAACATTGTTCTATTTTTTTTATATTTCAAAACCTTGTGTGAGATCTGCAAAATACTCACCGTTGGCCTCTTTTTAAATTCCTTGGGAGGTGTCTACTTTCCAGGAAAGGGGTCATTTGGGGGGGGGGGGTTTGGTGCTATCTGGCATGTCAGAGCCTTCGAAAAACTGTGATTAGGTAGTGAGAGGAAGTGTAATGAGGAAGTTACGCACCTTCAGGCTTTCAAAGTGGTCATTGGATTTCAGGCTCCTGTAATGTGGGCTAGGCTCCCCAAAAAGTCTTCACACATGTGGTATCCCCCATACTCAGTAGAAGTAGCGAATGTATTTTGGGGGTGTAATTCCACATATACTCATGGCTTGTGTGGAGAAATTAAATCATTTAAATGACAACTTCGTAGTAAAAAAAAAAAACAAAAACATGTTTTGTCATTTTCCAGAAACTTGTGGAAAAAAAATAAATCTTCAATGGGACTCAATATGCCTCTCAGCAGATAGCTTAGGGTGTCTAATTTCCAAAAATGGGGTCATTTGTGGGTGTTTGTACTATCCTGGTATTTTAGCACCTCAAGAAATGTGATGGGCAGTCAGAAAGTAAAAGCTATGTAAATTCCATTATCTATACCATAGTGGTTCTCAACCTTCCTAATTGCCGCGAACCCTTAATACAGTTCCTCATGTTGTGGTGACCCCCAACCAAAAAATTATTTTCGTTGCTAACTTCATAACTGTAATTTTGCAGCGGGAGGAGTAGTGTCCATCACTGATGTCAATGGGAGGAATCGTGCCCCATCGTTGGTATGTCAGCGGGGGAATTAATCGGGTGGAGTCAGTCGGGGGAGGAACGAAGCGCCCATCGTTCGGTGTCAGCGGGGGGAGGAATCGTGCCCCATCGTTGGTGTCAGCGGGGGGGAGGAATCTTGCCCCATCCGTTGGTGTCAGCGGGGGGGAGGAAATTCGTTGACCATCTGTTGGTGTCAGCGGGGGGAGGAATCGTTGCCCCATCGTTGGTGTCAGCGGGGAGGAGGAATCGTGCCCCATCGTTGGTCGTCAGAGGGGGGAGGAATCGGGTGCACCATCGTTCGGTGTCAGCGGGGGAGGGATCGTGCCCCATCGTAGGTGTCAGCGGGGGGAGGAATCGTGCCCCATCGTTGGTGTCAGCGGGGGGA